CCACCGCCGAGAGACTCGTCCCAAACCTCCCACGTCCCATAGCTACAACCTCCGGAGCATCACTAACGATCCTAACAATGCCAAACTAAAATACAGAAGAACACTTGAATTTGTTTAGTGGCAAGATGAAAACCTTAATTGCTAAATTCCTAAATGGCCAGGTAAAAAGAAACCTAAGTACATTGCTTGAAGATATGATACCTCGTTTGGCGCTATAATATAGTCTTAAACTAGGAATTTTCGCAGATTGACTTTTCTAGAAGAATGTGTGATAATAATTTGGTAAGCAGAAGTTGTTAGACATAGTTAAGCTAACCATCACAGCTCCATGATACTGAGTTAACACGCGTGTTTGGAAAGGTGTTTTACAGAATTACAGTATCTAGAATCAGATGAAGTGAAGAGGATTGTGAACCCACCAAATCAACGTTTGGTATATCAAGACCACGGGCAGCAACATCTGTAGCTACTAGAACAGTAAATTTGCCTTGACGAAATCCATTTAGTGTCCGCTCACGCTGATGCTGTGAAATATCACCATGAAGTGCCTCAGAAGCAATAGTGTTTGTCAGTGCCAATGATACCTCATCTGCATCTTTCTTCGTACGAGTGAAAACAATGGTTTTCCCACCCTTTGCATAAGCCTGACAACAAAATATATGGATTAGAATTGACACTGATTAATCAAAACAACTTATCTCATGCGATAGATATGTGAAAGTGACCAAGTCTAAGCAAAACCGAGCCCTTAAAATGTTTAATATGCATGGCAGATACATATATAGAATTCTGTTCTCAATCAGAACATAGTAAAATTATACAGCAACATAAGTGTATCAACTGTGACATATTTCATGATCTTATATATTTTTATATCCCAATAGACAGGCAAACCATCACGAAATCAAAATGATGAAACTAAACACCAACACAATGTTAATGTTGATGAGAACAACAGCACCATGATTATCGAAGTCCTAACTTGCCAGCATCAGAAACTATAAGGAAACAAATGGCACAAATCCTTTTTGAAAACACTAAGAGCCGCAGCACCCAGTTTCAGAAGCATCAATCATTTACAGTTTGAACCCCCACTGAGGAAGGAGTGACTAAATGTAATTGTAACTGCTAAACAGGGACCACAGTATCAAGACTTTTCAGCTTAAACCAAGCTGAAATGAATGCAGTTGCCAAAGTATTCAAGGAAATTAGAAATGATATTCATGGAAAAGTAGTCAGACTAAGAGTAAAAGATAGACCTATGTGTTTATGGTTATGGTCATGTTGATTCAAATAAAGCATGCATGTGCTAGCTGCCTGCACCATTTACTATTATCCAAGGGGCTAGCAAAAGTTAAACCGAAAGGTGAGAAGAGGGGAGGGAAAAAAGAGCTAAAAATTCCAGAGCAGCATTAGCATACCGTAATTAGATCACTAAGAACGGTGCGCTTTGATGTTGCTGTGAGTGGGATAGCATAGAGTTTGATTCCTTCAGCAAGCTTTTCATCTTGATCACCAACCTTAACACATGAAGAGACACAATAACGTATTAGGACATAAAAGTATGGAAAATTAAACCATAACCAGACACAGGTGCCACAATTATCTCACAAGGAATCAACATGGGCCTTCAAGTGAAAGTACAATTAACAGCTCAAGAACACTCTTAGCATCCCCTATGGCACTGTATTAGGACATAAAAATATGGAAAACTAAACCATAGCCAGACACAGGTGCCACAATTATCTCACAAGGAATCAACATGGGCCTTCAAGTGAAAGTGCAATTAACAGCTCAAGAACACTCTTAGCATCCCCTATGGCACTGTATTGATAAATATCTAGAGTCCAAAACCAGCATGGCATGAATAAATCGTTGTTGTGACATACATGTCCTAACAAAGTGCTAGTCAGAATTGCATAAATAATGAAACAAATAATATGTATTGACAGTAAAAGTCATCCTTTACTCCTTCGGAGAGTTTCATGAAAAAGGAAATAGCTGATTTATTGTGGTTTGTCGCTATGCACCATGAACAAGAATTAAACCCAATATTTTCAGCTGTCACATGGTGCAACAGAAACAACCACATGGGTTTCTTGTCCAAGTTTTTAGGCCAGAATATTTATCAAATAGCATGCACCATGACCATAAACTAAGATCAAGTTAAAATGACATCTGCAATCACATGTAAGAATAATCCCATACAACATTATATACTTGAATGCTCTCAACTGTGTGACAAAAGAACAGGGTAAATAACAGCAAATGAAAGTGGAGGAATGGAAGCAAATACCAAGTCAATTGTCAAAGGGTTGTTCAAGTACCGCCTGGACAGTTTCTTCACCCAACTAGGCATCGTCGCAGAGAACAGCATGCTTTGCCTGTCCGCGGGTAGCTGTTGTAATATTGTTTCCACATCTTCCTCAAACCCCACTGCAAGCATTTGGTCAGCCTCATCCAGGACTAAATACCGAACTTCTCCCAACTGGAGGCTTCCGCCATTTATCAAATCAATTATGCGGCCAGGTGTTCCAACAACAACATCGACACCACGCGATAGTGCGTTCTGCTGGACATTATACGAGACACCGCCATAGACACACACTGTGCCGAGCTTGGGTGCTGATTCCTTTATTTCTTTCTCGACTTGTTTGGCTAACTCTCTGGTAGGTGCCAGAACCAGAACCCGAGGAGTGCGACCTCGCCTGTCAAAAGGGAAAGGAAACAGTCAATGTGCCTGTTAATTATCAACTGACTCCGGTGAACCTGCATAGAAAGATGAATGGGTACCTTGTACTTCGACCATCGTCTTGCTCAATTAATTGCTTGATCATGGGTATACCAAAGGCCAGTGTCTTTCCGGTTCCAGTTTTTGCTCTAGCAATCAGGTCGCGGCCCTCAAGAGCGGGAATCAACACAGCCCTCTGGAGGAGGAGACAGAAAATGAGCAAAATACAACAACAATTAAGACCCAAACATGAGCTACTGAGCTCAGTAAAAACATGTGGCACATAGCATGCAACTGAAAGTGCAGCTAATTTGTCTGGCTATATTCATATGCACTATTGAACTTCAATAGGAATATCTATGCATTAGCATACTAATTGGTGCTGAGGAGTGTACGGATACGTGCTAGACTGCTAGTAGTAGGCTAAGTGTCAGTAGGGACTAATCCACTCGGAATACACTATGCTCCTAATGTCAGCACTAAAGTAACCACGCTTATAATTCCCTGAAAATAAGCGCCTCAAAGTTGTTGGGCAATACGCAAGGTCTGTGCCACGAATTTCAAAAGCAGTAACCCAATTCCCCAAATTGAACGCCCACTGGACCCCTCCCCGTCTCCTCCCCTCAGCCAATCCTGCAGCACGGCTTAGCCGCGCGCTTAGAAGCAAGCGAGGCAAGTAAGAGAGATAGCAGTAGTTCATTCACCTGGATGGGGAACATGTGTGTAATCCCGCGCTTCTCGAGCGTGGCGACGAGCTCGTCGGGCAGGCCGAGCCTGGCAATGGCGAGCTCCTCCTCGTCCCCCTGGAACCCCTCCCCCTCCTCGAACCCCTCGTCGGCGTCGCTCCCGTACGGCCCTTCCTCGTCCTCGTCGTCGCTCCCGAGCTGGAGCCGCTTGAAGGCGTGCTCGCTGAGCACGGAGTTGGGCGAGGCCACGGCGGCCACCGCCGCCCACCCGCGCCGCTGGAGCGCCCAGCAGCGGAAGGCCGCGGCGCGTCGGCGGACGGCGCCGGAGGCCGTGGCGGGGTTAGAGAGGGCGAGGGCGGGGAGCGTGAGGAGGGACGCCATCGGGGGAGGGAGGGAAGGGGATAGGAGGGGAGGGGGGAGGAGAGGGGATAAGAAATGGAACGGATGGCGTTGAGAGCGCGGAGGAGCGCAGGGCTTTATACAGCCGGGGCGGATGAGGGTTTGAGAGGGGTTTTGGCCGATTGGGGGCGACGAGGAGCAGCCTCGTTCACAGGATGACAGTGTCGCGCAGGGACAAGGACGCTGGAACTGCAACGCGCGTGTCGCCGCCTCGCCGGGCTTGGGAGCTTGGGAGTGTGGTGTATTTCTGCTTTTTCTTTTTTGAGTCTTTTTTATATAAATAAAAAGTAGCAGTATAATTAAGAACAAGAACACGAGTGCAAAAGTGGTGGCGCAGAAATTCACCACAAAAGCCAGGATGAAACAGGATGCAGCCAACACACGGCTGGGCCGACCGTGCGATTAACCTCCGGCGGTCCAGCACGCAGAGGGTGGCCCTTCTTCACTTACCAACATATTAGTATTGACTTGAGAAAAACCTAACCATATGCAACTAACCTTAAATGTTGTTGCTGCAGTAAAAAAACTTAAATACATTTGGGAGGGATGGTCCCTTGCCAATCAATACATTCTCCCGCAAAGCAAAGCCTGTTCCAAGAACAGTAACCAACCCTGACAAGTAGCAAGACATTATTTTGATTGTTCTTAGTTGGACAATGCATTGATTATCACAGCAAAATTATTCAAGGGGTATCACATCATACTATCATAGTATGAACAAAATACTTGGTAGTAGATCTGAACAAGCCAATGCTGGAAGGAATCCACATCTCATATCCACCATCTCACTAGGAGGATAGCTGATGGAAAAGACAGAAACTTTTAGGCAGTCCTGTCCTGCCAATAGGAAATGTTTGAACACAGCAGCAAGCTTATGGGAAGACACAAGTTGATCCAAAAATATCATGAAGTATATCATGAAATATCATGGGAAGACACAGAATGTCAAAAACACTAATTATGAGTTAGAATATATACATACACTCTCAAAGTTAAACTACTTCTATTCGACCCAGAGTCATGGAGCACATCCTGGTCAAGTGGTCTTCATCATAAATCCCCTCCAGCATCCTTAACATCAACAGTGAACTTGTACTCCTGGTCACAGCCCAAGTAAGAGTCTGACATCAAGTAAATCGTGTAGTCCATTGTCCCTGCTTCTGCAGGAGCACAGAACTCAAGTTTCACTCTTGCCCTCTTCTGAAGTGCCACTCTTTTGATTGCCAGCAACTGGTTAGTGGAGCTCTCACCAGCCACCAGCCTTCTACCTTGGGCTTGGGGAACCTCGGCGCATGAACTGGCCCAACCTCACATGGCAGGTTTGCCATGTCACGCTCCAGCGTTACCTGAACGGCTACATTGTCGCCAGCACTTGTGTCGTCACCCTCACGGACCTCATAGACCATATCAACATTGGGGAACCGCTTGAAGAACTCAATGATGTCCTGCAGCTGAGAGTTTGATAGCTGCAAGAGATCTCGCATCTCATCAATACCCATCTCAGCAAGATCAAAGATACTCTCGATGGGCTTCGCTTCATTTTCCTGGCACCTCTGAGCCAAGTCCTTTGTGAAGTGAGGAACTTGAAGCAGCACAGAATCACGATCCCACATGCCTTGTGTCACCATTTGACTCAACTCCATTGCAATAAGAGCAAGACTAAGCCAACCATTGCTGGAGATAACATCAACCATTGCCTGGAGCAACTTATGGGTAGAAACGAGAATCTCCCGCTGGTCAGCTGCCAGGTTCCCGACCACTGTGTGCCTTGAAAAATGGGCTTGCAGCAGCGCGTTGACCTGCACATGTGGATCACCATACTTGGGCTTCTCGATAGAGAACCTCTGGTGGCGAACAAGCCTCTTGAATTCTTCCTCACCAGCACGACCTGCAAGCTCTGCATATTCTGATGCAGATGCTAGAATCTCTAGGAGCCCCTTCATCTTAGTCTTCTGGGTCAGCATAGAACTGAAACGTTCAATAGTTGCATAGCTAATATAGTAGTATGAAGCAATAAGGCCAAGGTTGAGGGGCTTCAGGTACATGTCCTCCTCTATAGCGACACTATTACTGGATTCCAGATCATTCAGGACAGTCTCAACTAACTCAGAAAGATGATCTGAAAGATGCCTGTGACTTACACCCTGAAGATTATAGTAGTTAGGGTTCTTTGTCAGCCACCGATACATGAAAGTCCAAGTAAGGTAATCCACAGCATCTTGCTTATTCTCTACAACATCAGCCACAACCTCGGCATTCATACGATCATGCAAGAAATGGTGAAGATTGCTCTCAACAGGGAAGGCCTCATAAAGGAACCTTTTGTAGTACTCTTTGAGAGGCGCATGACACAATATGACACATTTCCCTGAGTTATCTTGAAGTGGCCTGTTGGCATGACCCATCATCTGAAACAGATCTGCAATTGGATAATCTTTGCGAGCGTTCTCATGGCCATCATAATACTGAGTCCCCATGACAACCACCAAATGAACAGGCAATAGTCTTCCCCAACACATTGTGCTGCTCGCAACAAAAACTTGGATCCTCCCACTAAGGAACAGATTTGTTACAAGTTCCTGATCAAGTTCGCTTAGACCCTGATGCAAGTAGCCTACACCACATTTAAGTGTATTCTTAAGCGTCTAAATCTTCAACACCTCTGGTGAAAGCATCCATCTCATCTTCTGACCCAAGGAGAAATGGTGCAACACCACCCTCGACACTAGAGTATGCACACAAGTCCAATGCAGTCAACCTTGCATGCTTCCTTGTTGGTACATACACCAGGGCAGGTTTACTGTTCTTTGTATGCTGTGTGATGGCAATGTATGCAGGCTTGGTCATTGCTTGCATCCTTGCCTCAAAGTTTGCTATATCCACACTCTAAATGTGAATTTCGAATGGCACAGGTCTCACTGCTGGAGGGAAGTTGAAGAGGCCATGAGAGGTGGCACCAACCCATTCACCGAGATCTTTAGCATTACCAACTGATGCTGAAAGTGCTACGACCCGTATGTTACTAACAATATGACTTGAAATACACCTCATCCTAGATACAATGACTTCCAAAACATGTCCCTTATCAGACCCAAGTAGATGAAGTTCATCAACTATGAATAAGCTGACCTGTTGGATGTGCTTTCGCTGTTTCCACAGACGAGACAGTGCATCCCACTTTTCAGGAGTACTGATTATGATCTCCCCTTTATCCAGAAGCTTCAAATCAGCTGTAGTTTCACCAGTGAGCTCAACTACCTTGGCAAATTCTGCAAATTTGTGCCCCAGTCCCTGTACCTTTCTTTTGCAAGAGCTTCAACAGGAGCTATATAGACAACCCGCATGTTGCTCTCACCAGACATTGCCCTCTGGTGGTTTCTTAGTATAGCAAACTCTGCACATGTTGTCTTCCCAGTGCCCGTTGCTGCAGTGACCAACACGTTGTCATCGCTGTTATACAATACAGTGAATACTTGAGTCTGGATGGGATTGAAATGCTTGAAAGCATTACTATAGAGGCCTTCATATTGCGCATTTTTCAATGCAGTAACAGGTAGAGGCTGCAGATCAAGCAATTGAGTTGGTGGAGCATATTTTTCTGGTAGAATTAAGTGCCTAAAGCAGACAGGGAGAATTGTCTTAGAACCAAGCCACTTGTCAGACACAACACGTACAAAATATTGAGGGGGCAGTGGCTCATATATCGGCACTGTGAAGTTCAATGTATGATCTTCGTTGACCAATTGTTTCTTAAGCATGAAACATTCATGGTGAAGAATGGACTGGCCATCGTTGTCCTCAACAATAACCCAAAAGGGCTCCACATATCCATGCACTTTATCATCCCACAGGAAGTCAGGTGTAATGGTCAGCTCAAAACCCAAAACTGTAGGAGTAATCGGTTGGACGTGGGCTGACAGGTTCAATTTTGGTAACTGGTGGATGCACTTGTGCAGCAGTCTCCCCATCTTGGGATAGCTGATCAGTTCACCAAGTTCCTGTGATGACAGATCATAGTACCTCTCCCAAGCCAACTCCTTTTTCTCCAGTTTCATCAGGGTCTCCTTTGGAATTCCAGGAAACTGACACAGGGGAGTTTGGACACTCCACATTTGTTTATCAACCAGCTTGCAAAGATTCAGTGCCTTGTCCGCTAGTTGAGCCCATCCCCTCTTCAGAACAATCTCAAACAATGCTCGTAAGAGACGGCCAGCACTCTGCATTACAGAAGGGGCGAAAACATAACTATGTGGTACAATATAAGCAAGAAATTTAGGTTCGGAAAGTGTATTAAGTAAGGTGAAAGCATGCAAACAAACTATAAGGTGTAATTGACAGAAGAAAAAAAAGGTGCTACCTGTCTGATGTATAATATATCAGAGCTAAGAGAAAGGCCTTCCAGTTTCAACCTAGAAATATATGCTTGCAGCAGAACATTGATCTTTGCACTAGGATCCTCCAAGCTCTCTTTCACAGGAATCGGCACACGATCCAAAAGCTTTGCCAGTTCCATTTTCTCATCTAGCCTGGCACCAACATGCTCAAACTCTTCACTCAGAGAAAACAGTTGGCACAGCTCAATATCCCCCATTGTAGGCTTCAAGCACTCGTTGTATTTTGAAATAGTTCTATGACTAATATAGTAATAACTGGCAATCCTTCCCAGCTCAGTAACTTGAAAGTATCCCGTTTTCCTGTCATACTTTATCAAATTGTTCTTATCCAGTAGATTTGCAGCAGAATGTATCTGCAGCAGAACAAAAAAATACAGAAGATCAAGAACAGAACAGGCAGAGATAAAACGATGTAACATCAACTATATTTATGCAATATCAAGGAGCAGTAAAATTAACAATGAGTATGGAATTAAATGCACGCCTAAAACTTCTTTGTATCTCATTGCAGTATCAAGAAGCACATATGATGCTTCAACAACACAGGATTTATATCAACAACCTACATCTTCTTTTCAAACAAAAAAAACTATGTTTTGAGATGATCACAGTATTATTTCGTTTAATTCATGTTTGCTTAACTATAGATATTGTACTTTCTGAAGCAAAATTATTGTACAACAAATTGCATGGTTGTGTCTGTATCAAAACAAAATTACATGCAATCAACATGTGCACCTACGAAAAGAAAATTGTCATTTCTTTATATGCTTATCATTACCCACATCACATGTGAAACACTGCACATAATGTGCAACCTACGTACCTATAGGGGGAAAGCAGTACCAATTCTCTATATGCCTTGCCATTACCCACATCACATTATCGTGACAAATACATGTGAAAGGTGTTAGATTAAAGTATGTCATAGTATTAAGATGAAATGAACACTCTAACCATCATAGTGCAACCACTACACATGCAGCGACAAATTTATGCTGCACAGAGGAACACCACTACAGTGTTATCCTACGCTACATTGCCAAAGGATCTAATTGCCCAAGTAGAGCACCAGTTAGATTCAAAACTTTGTTGCCAACACAGTGAACCTATCTTAGTACTATATGCCCTACTGCAGAGACTATTGACCAATGCAGGCAAATGCAATTATTAACTAGTCGTAGTAGACTGTAACGAAACACAAACGCTTAACAAATATCTTGCACATGCAGTTGTGAGAGCCTATGGGCTAGATGACCTTTAGAAATAGATAAACCGAAGAAGATACATTAGCAATTGGTGCATGTTCACATAAGCAAGGACTAAAGCAATAACTGAGAAATAAAACAGTAAGGATGAGACGTATACAATTTACTTACCAAATCGGCTCTCCTTTCCTCAAGTGTTTTATCCCTCTCCAAGATATCTGCTGGCAAACCATATAATGTCGGATCGCGAAGCATCCGAATATAGAGGTAAGTATAGCCAAGCCATGAGCATGCTTCCCGAGCATTCTGAATTGTCCCCAGAACAATCTCAGCATTCAATTGATCAGCCAATTTGGATGTGAACTGACTCTCCATAGGTAGCTGCTGATTCATAAGAGAGAGGTAGAACCACAATTCACTGTGGCTAGTCAAGATTATTCCCTCTCCATGTGTATCATACTGAGGCCTTCCTGCACGACCAAGCATCTGTATAACATCCAGAGGGCATAGTTCTGTCCAAGCACCTTTTTCCGGGCTGTAAATCTGTGTGCCCTTTATGATAACAGTATGTGCAGGCAAATTGACACCCCATGCAAGGGTAGCAGTGGACACGAGTACTTGAATGTGCTTGTCAGCAAAAAGTTCCTCAACGAGTTCACGGTCAACCCTTGCCATCCCTGCATGATGAATAGCAAACCCATACGGCAGGAGATCTTTAAGATCATTGTTCTCGACAAGATCGGCATGAGTGCCAAGTATCTCTTGGCTTGCACTCTCATTCTTCAGAAAGCAGCTGACTGTATCGTTTGCTAACGCTAGATCTCTGATGGCTTTGGCAGTTTTTGCCGTGTCCTTCCTCGAGTGTACAAATATAAGCACTTGATGCTTACCAGCGGAAGCCATAACCTTCTCATAACAAATCTCATTCATCAACCGCATCCTCTGTAGTGGCATCCTCACAGTTATCCCAATGTACTGCTGAGCAAGAGGGCAGGGTCGGTAACAGTTGTCGAAATAGAAAAGGTTTCCTTTGCGAACACGCAAGAATTGTGCAACATCGTCATGGTTTGGTAGAGTCGCAGATAGCCCAACGAGACGAATATGCTCCTTGGTTGTTTCAATCTGCCTGACTGTCCTAGCAACAATGCTCTCCAGAACAGGTCCTCTGTTATCATGCAGCAGATGGATCTCATCAATGATTAACAGCTTCACCATTTGGGTACAGGTTCTGTCCCCTGATTTACTGGTCACAATATCCCATTTCTCAGGTGTCGTGACAATAATCTGTGTTTCATCAATCTGTTGCTTGGTCAAGTTTTGGTCTCCACTGAGCTCCTTAACACTAAGGTTGTAACATGTCAAACGCTTCGACAAGTTTCCAACAACTTCAGCAACCAATGCTTTCATTGGGGCCACATAGACAATTTTGTACTTGGTATTATCAAACTTTCCGTGCTTCATATGCAGACCGATCTGCTGAAGGATTGTAAGTACAGCAACATTTGTTTTGCCAGCACCAGTCGGAGCGCAGATTAGTATATTATCTGGTTTGAAAAGAGCAGCATCATAGACCCTGCTCTGAACTCTATTCAACTGCGTCATTCCATTGAAAGCTGGTTGTGCCCACCCTGGCATATCAGATATCTTCACAATCTTCTCTCCTGTTTCATAGGGTTTAGCCTTCGGTGCTGCACATGAACCTCCTCATATCCATTATGAGGGGTTCTAAATGATCCTGTGGGAAGTTCACATTTCTTGATAGCCATGAAGAAACCACCCTGGTGAAAAGAGAGGCTGTCAAGATCAAGCAGCCATCTCTGTCCTTTCAACCATCCACTCTCCATATCCCCCTCGGCTGCCCTGCGATCCCTTGCAACATCAATGCCCATACCATCAGTGTTGAGGAGCCTCTTGACCTCATCCCTGATGCTTTTCTCCAGGTTCTTCTGCCTCTCCTTCGCAGATGCTCTGGTTGCACGTAACTGCTCCAATATCAGAGCCAAGCTTGGGTCACTTGTCATCTCTTCCTCTATATTCTTCCTCTGTTCCTGATCTTCGGCCCTGGCTAAGCGTGTGCACCAAACAACCTTGAGCCGGTTGCGCAGCAGCAACTTAATGAGATCAAACTTCTCATAGTCCAAGAGCATGACAAGGCGATTCTCGACATCTCTGTCATCACCCTCAGCTATAATCTTCAAGATATCCTCCGCAAGCTTCTGGCTCTGCTGCGCATCAATGTCCCCATCCCCATATGCTTGGGATATCTTCCTCTGAAGCCAGTAAGCATCGATGTCCTGAACATTAACAGCCAGCCCCTGGTTGGCGTTCTGCGTGTCATTATCATCTAGCGCACTGTCCATTTGCATACCTTCAGGACCGTTCAACTCAGTGGTGTCGTCTTCATCCAACTCATCTTGCACCTGATGGCCACAAACACACGGTGGTAAGCAAATAAAAATCTGGGCCAAGTGAGGCAGGATGGCAAGACAGATAAACAGATTAGTTAAAGGTATTCATATATGAGTGTAGTATGTACCTGATCAAAATCACTCTCATCGTCTTCATTTTCTTCCCACCCGACAGCAAGACTGACATCATCATCCAGGGTGGTGGTGTCCATTGCATCGGCAGAAGGCGCACCGGCAGCAGCATTGCTGGCCGCCACATCATGAAAGTCCGTGATGAGCTTACCTATGGAGGCAAGCTGGTCAAAGAGCTGGTTGGAGATGGGGCCGAGGAGCTGCTCGATGCCCTTCTTCATGTCAGGGTTCTTAACCTTGTCATTCTTGAGGGTGGCGAGCACCTCGTCCGCGGCCCCCGCGAGCACGTCGAGCGGCTGGCCGCCGAGCTGCTGCTGGATGAGGCTGAGCAGGGCCTCGTAGACGGCGCTAGTCTCCTTGGTCTGAGGCTTGTAGACGGCGTCGTCGGTGAGGGAGAGGACGCTGATCCCCCGGCCGGAGGCGGCGCGTCGCCTGCGCTTGGCGTCGCGGCGGGGGAGGCCGGTGTCGGCCGCGTCGCGCTTGGCTTTCCTGGTGCGCGACCTGGAGAGCTTCTCCTCGAGCTCGGGCGGCGGCTTGTTCTGGACGGCGCGGTTGCCGAAGGACTTGGGGTCGATCCTGTTCCACAGCGTCTCGGGCTCGCCGCTGGGCTCGTGGGTGTCGCGGGGACGGGAGTCGGTGGTGAGGACGAGGCTGGCGTTGGTGCGGTACTCGTACTGTTTGAAGCGCGCGTGCACCTCGGTGCCGCCGCCACCGCCGAGGTTGGCCATGTGAGCTGCAGCGGCAAGCCGGCAATGACAAGTTACCGAATCGGAAAAAAAAAAACTAGTTAGAGGCAATGGGAAACCTAGGGATCGAAGCGGAGGAGCGGCAGGGGGAGAGAGCAGAGAGGTGTACCATTGGGGGCGCGGCGAGGGGAGGAATCGTCCTCCTCGCACTCTCCCGGCGGAGGAGGATCATCTCGTCGGCCACCCATCGACGCGTCAGGAGGGTACGTGGAGGCTTTAGGGGTTTGCTTGTTTTTTTAATTTAGGCCCAGTTCGGTTTTGCCTTGATTTTGATCTGATGGAGATGGATGCGGAATTGCGGATGCGGCGGACCGCCGGAGACGGGGAGGGAGAGGGAAGAGGGAAGAGGCCAAGAGAGATGCGCTGCTCCTGTAAAAGGATATGCTTGTAACAGATTTATTACATATATAGATTTTGGCTCTGACCGACTGTAATACTCCCTGACGAAAATAACAGCGGCTGTTACATGCCATGGACAATGGGCAAATTGCTTTGCCTTTCCCTGACCACGCAGCACTCCCGGCCGGCCCGTTAGTCTGATATTAAAGCCGATTCATAAGTCAACTGAAGCTGTTTTACTGTGAAAGAAAAGTACCATAAATTCTAACTGATAAGTTGAGGCGAACATGAAGTGCTGCAAGCATCGTGATAAGAGCGAGCTGGTGTTGTCAACAAGCTGGCATGCAACGAACACTTTCTGGCTCATCATCACGTTACCTGTCGCAGTTTTCTGTACGAACTAACACATGTTTGGATCGCCACATCTAAAGTATAGAGCTCTAAAAAAAAATTAAAGCATTTTAGTTCATATTTAAGGTCTAAAGCTATAATGTGAGGTGTGCTAAAATTTAGAACTAACTTTAGACTACCTGTTTGAAGACTTTAAGAGCAAGTATAATAGCAGACTGTAAGCTGGCTAAATACTGAGATGAAGAAGAGACAAGAGAAATGGGTTGTAAGCTTACCGCTGGCTTAGGCCTTAGACACAAGAAACAAAAAAAACTTCATGAAAAAGGCAAGTGGATAATACATTAATAGTAAAGAGCTAACTATTATATGATAGGCTAAGAAACGGCTACAAAGAACCTTACAACCAGCAGGCCGGCTATATTATTAGCCTTACTCTAACTCTAAAGTTTAGAGCTTTAAATTTTAGAGCTGAATCCAACGTGGCCCTAAAAGCAATGACCTATACAGACAGTGTCGCTGTAGCTTAATCATTCGGCGCTAACGAGGCCAGTAGAAAGGTTGTGCTACTTTTGCGTCTTGTGACATTCTTTTTTTTTTCAAATGTTGGCAAGAGTCCTGTGAGATTGAACACTCGCGCACATCAAATCATGCCGAATTTCTATCGGAGATTAACTCGATATAGATTTTAGTATTGATAAAGATATAGCATGTGTCTCACAGTTACTCCGTCCATAAAAAAATGTAATTTTCACGTTTCGAGAAGTCAAACACTATAAATTTTGACTAAAATTATTTGAAAAAGTATTAACACTCATGAGATAAACTAAGTTTCATTAGATTAGTTATAGAATATATTTTTATAATAAATTTATTTAGAGATATAAATGTTAGTACTATTTATTATATACTTGGTCAAACTTGAGCTATTTTGATTGGCACAATTCCCATAATTGTATTTTTTTGCGGATGGATGTAGTACTGGTTAGCATATCGTCTATTAATAAAAATAATAACTAGCCACGAATACAGCCCACGTACAAATTCCACCATCAGTAACTACTAGATTACATTAATTCAGTTTACATAAACACGGGATTCTTTGAAGCGGCAAAAACTGTGTAATGGAGCCAAGGAAGAATGAGAGAACGCCACCCATGATACCAGTCTCCGCGTCCTAAAAAGATACAATTTTAGTTTAGGACAAATTTAAGTTACTTTTATTTAAGTTTAATTAAGTTTTTAGAGATAATATCAAATAGTATGTCTCTAAACAGGTTATCCATTAAAATATATTCAAAAATAATTTAATGATATTTCATTCGTACCATAAATATTAGTATTTTTAGAGCTACAATAAACATGTGCTAATGATAGATTAGTTAGGCTTAGTAAATTCATTTCGCGGATTACTAAGAACATGTGTAATTTATTTTATTATTATTATTTGAACACTCGACACGCTATGTCACATCCCGTGTCACACCTTTAAACTTTAGCCACTCGATTATATTTATTTATACTGGTTGTACGGTTTTTTAAAATTTCGGTTTCCAGAAAATGACTCCTGATCGATTTGCTAAAATTCCAAAAACCGATCAATTTCGGTTCGGTTTTTTAATTTGGTTTTTCGGTTAAAACCGAATAAACCAAATATCAGACAAGACTTAGAACTAACAACACAACACAGTACAAACTTGCACAGCACAGTATATTATTTGAAGACTCAAGACTGTTACAAACTTAACAATTCAATGCTCAAATCAATTATTACAAATTTACAGTTCATTCTTGATAATAAACCACAGTACTCCATCAGTTTTGATAAACAACAGGGAAAAAAACAGGTTTCTCGGTATTTCGGTTTTCGGTTCGGTATAGCATAGAAACCGAAACCGAACCGAAAAAACGAACTTCACAGAACTGGAAACCGAAACCGAACCGAAAAACCGAACTACCGACTATTCGGTTCGGTTTCGGTTCAGTTCGGTTCGGTCTTCGGTGAAAAAGTGCCCAGGCTGATTCACTCGGATGTGCAGCTGTCACTTGCTGCTGGATGATGGATGCTTCAGCCGACAGGTGGGTTATGTCAACATCTGATCATTGTTATTGCAGCTTGGAATACAATACGGTGGTTAGTATTACTGCATCAACAAACATGTGGTTACCCATTTTGGCAAGGTAGTATTAATGTTTGCGTGTCTTTTTTTTCTTAGCGACGAAATACCCTCTAAATCCTAGAAAAATACAATTATTGCTTTCCAAGAAGTTAAATAATATCAAATTTAACCAAACCTTGTCAAATCATAAACTAATTATGATTAAAAAAATCGTCTCGCAAATTCATCTTAATATGTGCATTTAGTTTCATAATTATTTTATATTTAATATTTCATATATGTGTCAAACATCTAATATCACATGAGCTAAAGTTTAGAGGGGGAAATAAACACAGCCAGCAGCAGATTGCTTCCTCTCGCACGAAATCATCGCGTCCAGTCCACTGCCGCGCACGGTTGATTCGATTCCACGCTTTCAACAGGAGAGAGCAGAAACAATTCTGAAGCTTCGTCAGCTCCAACCTTCTCGAACACCGGTCCACTTTTCGAATCTCCAGGCAAATCAAACCACAAATAAATTACCCAAAAAAAAGTTAAGCAAAAACCGGACGCGAAAACCGATGCTATTAACGCTGACTACTGTTAACCCCTCTCCGCCCGCTGCCTTTCCTCTTCCTCTTCCCCAACCCAACCACCCGCACCAAGCCAAACCAGGGAGAGACAGCACGCGGCGCGGCCACGCCGAGCGCCTGCCTGCCTGCCTGGGCTCCCCTGAGTCGCCTCCTCCCCTTCGCCTCCTCCTCCGATCGGCCCCGCCTCGCCTAGCTGCTGCTGCTGCTGCGCGCGCGCGCCGCCGCGGTGGGACCCGGGAGGAGCGTTGGTGGCGGGCGGGCCCGATGGAGTGGGCGTCGGCGGCCTACACGGCCGCGGCGCTGGTGTGCGCCGCGGCGGCGTGCGTGGTCGCGCTCGCGCACATCTACCGCCACCTCCTCCACTACGCCGAGCCAATCTACCAGCGGTTCATCGTCCGCATCATATTCATGGTCCCGGTAATGCTCTCCGCTCGCCGCTCATACCTAACCCTCGCGGCTGCAGATCTGCCGCCGCCTTCGCGGTTCATCGTCCGCATCATATCTATGGCTGAACTCGAGGGCGCGTCGCGGTCGTTAGCTGGAATAAGGTCCGGATTGGGTCAGTTTGCCGGAGCTAGTTGCTTGCCTGCGCGATTGCGTGCTCTGTCGACGCTCTTAGGTTTCGGTCGGTATGTTAGGTGTCTTTTTCTGGTGAGTTTCCCGTGAAAGTTAGGCTGTGATGGAATGAAGTACTCGCTGGTAAATTTTGCTAGAGCATGTGATACTGATCAGAATGCGAATGCTTGCCATGCGTGGAGCTTTATGCAATATAACTATGGCTTACTTTTATGCGTGCAATTGAATTCATTGAGGTTCTGAGTAGAGTGCATCTGATCAGTATAGATTCCTGGAACTTGTGGTTTCGTCCTGAGGATGTGGGTTGAATAAGTATATACGTTTATTTCTGGTAGGAATATATGTGTTCCCATGGCAAATTATTTCTGGATTGAACCATTATGTTTGGATCATAGTATATGTATTGATGTGTTCACATTCACTCTAGTGATTTGGTCCACAAGTGAATTTGCTGCAGCTGTAAGAGAAAGAGTAATTGCTCTGTAGAACGTCTGCAACCCTAATGCCAACACTTCTAGTTTGGAAAATACAAACACTTGGTCCATTATTCATTCACATTTGTCACCCTTGTGTCCCTTCGCTTTTGTCTACAAGCACTCTATGTGTATTGCATATTTCATTATATTAACCCCAAAGGCGTGTGCTATTCTGCAGGTATATGCTGTGATGTCATTCCTTTCCCTTATCCTCCCTGATAACGCGATATATTTTAATTCTATTCGAGAGATGTAAGTTCTACTTGTAAGCCGAACCTCTATGTTCACTTCATATGAAATTTTTATTCAATGTGTCATTATGGCTTCTACTTTTGGTCTTTTGCTCACTGTTGAGACATGTAATGCTCAATGGCATGATTCCATCTATTTGTAGTCAACAACACAAATAAGTAGTAAGAACTGGTAGAAACTTTCTGCAATCCAATTCATATGCGCTTTCAACATATCAGTATGTGTGAACTGCTCATTTGTTTATATACTATAAATATGTCAGCAACTGTGCTGATAATCTTTGATGATCTCTAGTGAAT